ATATATACATATATATATGTAACACAGAATCATTACATCCTTAATTGTTATTTTTTCCAATATTAAGCAAAGATGAAATAATCACGCTGTGTTACGACACTACACTGTGGCTCTTGCTGGAGAAAGCACCAACTGTTATAATTAATTCTGATTAATCTTATATTTACGTGGAGACTTGTTGTCTCGTTTCTCTCGTGTCTGCTTCGTGATCTCTAACAATTTGTAATAATTGGTAATTGATGCATTAAAGTATAGAGAAATCTGAGAACAAACGAAACTCATGTGCAGAATCTATATACGCATCTTATAGGATCGAACAGAATGGAACGGAAAAGGAGCAGGATGAGAAGATAGTCAGATTAGATAGATATCCTTTTTTGTTCTTCTTCTGCACTAAATGATCTCAACCCCAATCGGGCAGTGCCTAGTTAAAATTAATTGAATCTAAATGATTTTATGACAATTCTCTCAAGATAATTGATTCACAGCAAAATAGTATAATTCTTTATTGACGCAACTTGTATTTTTCACATGCTGATTGTATAATGTGTGAAATAACCGCGCGCAATTAATAATAGTACATATACGTATAAATAATAATTGTATATACCCCGATGCTAATATGTATATATATATATGTATATATATTTTTTTTTTAATAAAAGAATAATATAACATTATCTACGATACTGACCGTACTACGGATACTCTGATTCGGAATTATAACATTTCCATGTAGCGAGAAACATATTGTGATCCGTGTAAATATAATAATTTTGCAATACAAATGCAAAACTCTTTGTAGTTAGATTTTTTCACCTTCCTTTTCGTTTTTATTTAACAAAGCCTCGTTACTTGGTTGGAAACAAGACCGTCTATATAAATATTAAGACTTTAAATACAAAGCGCCTTTTCGGTCGAGTGTTAAGATGTTGAACTACTATCTAATATACATTCAATTAAATTGAATTAATATTTCAGAAATAAATTGAGAGCCGATGGATTTATCGGATTCACACAATCAATCTGAAACAAATAATCCCCCCCAAATTCTCCCAAATCTTA